TTCCTGGAAATAGATTGATGATGGCAGACATTGTCTGTGAAGCAAGTAGAAAAAATTGATACCTTATTTGTGTTTTATAAAATAACTAGTTTCTTCATTTTAAATTTATAATATAGTTTTAAATATTCTGCTTTTATTTCCAGTAGGGATTTATAGCTGATTTTGCCTATACATGCCTGAAAATTGGTTTTAGATTTATGTATGTAGCAAAACAATAGTAACCTTTTCAGTTAATCTCTCCTCGTGTATCTTTGTTTAACTTTTCTTGAGTTGCAAAAGACAAAGTATTTGGTGTGAGCTGGCAGGTATTTAAAAAAATCTGCTTAGTCCTTAAAAATACACACACACACAAGGTACACAGATGCAGCCTCTCAAGCTCAACCTATCTGAGAGCAAACATGACAAGAACCTGCTTGTTTGAAGCAGCTGCAGTCTCTTAAACTGCATTTTTGCAAAAAAACCTCAGAATAACAGACCAGTGTTCCCTTGCACTTCCCAAAGCATAACAGGCAAAGCCTCAATTCCTATGCTTGCGGGTGCAAAAACAGGAAAGAGAATTAAAACTCTAGCAATGCTTTTCTTGTTTATTTTTTATCTGGTTTAGATCACAAAATTAGTTGTTAAAATTGCTCAGTAGACTAAATGTTGTATAGAAAGGTAACAAAATAGATGATTTTTTTGCCCAAGCTTCTTGCTGTTATAGCCCTCATCTCCTGCTTGTCCTTCCGAGTCTCTGAACAGCTATATTCGCATCGTTTCAGTGTCAAACCTTGTCAGCAACAAATTTTTTTATCTGCAGGTGCAACTCAACAGTGGTTTAAATATTTTGGCACAGGGATATGCTTGGGTGCGTTGTGTTCTCAGCAGCGTAACTGTTTTCGGCATCTCCGCTGTGGTGGTGCTGTAGCGCGTAGCCTGACAATATCACTTCTTTTTAACTCATCCACCCTCTGCTCTTCTTACAGAAATGTAATAAAACTGAAAGCAAAAGCAGATACTTTCATATGACACTTTTATATTAACATTTCTTTTCTAGAAAATTGTACTCTTGATAATCAAACTGATTGAAACTAAGCAGTGTTAATGATATAGCTATAGAGCTAAGACTTTTTGGGGTTTTTTTTTTGGAACTGGAAACATCAGTGGCAAATTGCAAGACTTTTTCCAACAGTGTTAAAGACCGTTGCATTAAGCACGGAGAAGTGAATGTGGAAGGACAGGGTGTTACCAAAGTAGGCTGCTTGGTCTGGATGCTAAAACTTGACGTCATCTTCAAGCTGTCTGAGGATAGCCGTGACCAGCTGCTGTTGTCATATGAGGGCTCCCAAGTCTCCATTCCCATTTTTGTCAAAAATTGTGAACTTAGGAACTGGTCTGCATCAGGTTCACTGAGCAATCAATTAGCAATCAAAGTGAGAAGCACCTGGATTGAACTTACCTCACAAGTAATGCAGACAGATGTGACAAGAGGCTTTGAAAAGCAGTTCTTTATATACTCTTTCTGATAAAAGAAATTAATTTTTCAGATCTTCATCCAAAACCGTCTAGTACCCAAGTGGAAAACCAATCTCCTAGTAGGTATGCCATACTGCAGTGCTAGTCTATAAGTTCTCACCATATTTTTTTTTCCAGAGTAATTTTTTTGCATACCCCATCAGTAGCTAGATCTGTTATCATATTTATCAGCAAACTTGTTCCTGTCAGTTTATATCTTTGGGACAAACTCTGATGCTCTATGACCAGCTGACTTAGAGTTGATCTGCTGCTGTGACCTCCTTAAAGGATTCTGCACATAGGTGTGGGATACTATCCTAGAGAAGCCAAGCAGGTATAAGACTGCAGCCATGGGCTCCATCAGTCTTGCTTTGCAGTGGAGGAAGAAATTTTAGTGCATCCTAATCACAGGTACAGTTTCTCTGAAAATCGTTCCCTGAGGATCTGAAGAGGAGTTTTGTATTTTAGAAGGAACAGATAGATTCTGAAGGACTTTTGACCCCAGCAGCATAAAGCATTATGTTAGGCGGTAAGACTTCTTTAAAAAACTCAAAATATGAAAAATAATCATTAGCTTTTTTTAGTTGCACTAGCTGCTCTGCATCTTCATTGCTCTCTTTAGTGTTAGAAGCTGATAATACTTTACTGGCTTGTGTTGTTGGTATGGAATCTGTGATTGTGAAATAAAGCCGTGCATTCTTGTATAATGATTTTTTTAATTTTTATTTTTAGAGGAAGTTACAGTTCTTGTACTCCTAGACGGCATGCCAATTTTTTTTTAATTGCCAGTGTTATAAATTTGCTGCATTGCTCCTTTAATTCTGATAAAATAGTTGATAGTTGGCAAGAACTGTAGATGATAAAATTTACCGTGAAGTAAACAGGTTTTTGGTTTTAAAACAAGAATTTTCCAAGCCTTCTGCATTATACAACAAATTGCTCTTTTTTTTTTCTACCTAACTGATTTATTTTTTCTTCTTGAAATGTATTTGAACAAGTGAGGGAGTGCAGCTGTCAGAAGATTAACCAGCTGAAAACTATTGTCAGCATTAATTTTGCTCTAATAAATGAATCTCTGAAGCTATTTAGCAGTCTGTAATCTAGATACAAGGCTATTGACCTATGATGGATAGTACTGGATTTTGTTTGTAAGCTTTGACTTAAATTGTCTACTTAATTTGCTGCAGGTCAGATCACAGGATTAGTGGTAAAGGCCATTATGTGGTTTGAATAAAAGTAGCTAGAGGAATGGAATGAAAATCATTGTGTTTATTAATGTAGCAGTCTTTGTGGTCATGTACATACCAGTGAACTGGTAGCCAAGAAGGCAACAATGATCTGTTTGTGCTGGCTCTAAATCCGTGCTTTGCTCTTGGCCCAGTTCCTGTGAGTTGCCTGGAAGGGACTTGTTGAAGTGAGTTTAAGGATTGGCTGCAAATAGGATGTCTCTCAACCTGGGCAGGAAGATCTTCACCACCATATATATTTCAGTACCTCGACAGTATTCTATATATAGACTGTTTTTTTAAAGCTGTGGGTCTGACTGAGTTCTTCTGGATGCTCCAGTTCTGGACTTACCAGCAGAAAGACACAGATTTCCTGGAGTGAATCCAGCTATGGCCCATGAAGATGACAAAAACTCTGGACTATCTTTCATATGAGGAGAGTCTGAGAGAGCTGAGACTGTTAAGCATGAAGGGTAGGCTCAGGGGGGATCTTATCAATGTGTATAAAAAGCTGATGGGAGAGACTGAAGAAGAAGGAGCTACACTGATAGGACAGGAGGCAATGGACATTAATTAAAACACAGAAATTCCATCTGAAACGCACAAAACCACTTTTTTGCTGAGTGGGTAGTCAGGAAAAGGTTGCCTAGAGAAGCTGTGGAGTCTCCATCCTTGGAGACACTCAAAAGCAGACTGGACATGGTCCTGGGCAAAGTGCTTCAACTGGCCCTGCTTGAACAGGGGGGTTGAACTACATGATCTTGAGAGGTCCCTTCCAATACCAGAAGTCCCATGATTCTAGCTTCTAATATAGGTTGAGCAAGTACTTCATCAGTGGAAGCATCTTTACTGTTGCCTATTTTTGCATAACTGGTAGGTATTTACTCTTTTTGAGACCTTGATCTACGAAATTTGTCTGAAATTCTTCAGTGATTTCAAAAGATGGTATATGCTGAAAGGTGGATGGGGAAAATAAACAGTTGGCAGATAATGAAAGGGGCATTTTTAGACATAGTCACAGAGAGCAGTTGTACAGAGACAGTGAATCAAATGAAATTTGTATTGAAAAGCAAATAAAAATTCATCAGATTATTCAGTGTGAGGAGCTGCAGTGTAACTGTCCTTGATGTTGTAAACAAAGTCCAAAACTGACCACTTCTTTAGCTGTGTTGCAGCACTTCAGAGCACTGTACCTAACTGAACATGTTTAATTCGAAAGTTGGTTGTTATCTGCAGCTGTACATCCTGACAGGTTCATGTTTGTTGCATAGCACAGAAAATTTGTAGTGGCTATGCTTCTTCTCAAAGTGAAAATTAGGGAGGAAGATGATTTGTTCATCAGTTTAGGCCAGATTTTTCTAGCTGTTATTAAATGCTGAGGATGAGGAGGTTAAGAATGTATGAGTAATTCATATTAGAATTAGGCTTCTTTTAAGAAATAGAATATTTCATGGAGCTGATAAATATCACGTGAAAAATTTGCTGGAGTTGTGCTTATCGGAACTGCATAATCAGAGAACTGTGGTGTTTGCTTACTGAACTGTGGTAAAGACAGGACAGACTACAGGAATAAAACTGGGAATAGTGCGTTTGTGTGCATATGTGTATGAATAATTTTTACATTGTCTTTTCATAGTTCTTTACGTCATTGCATGTGCATTAAGTTTATAGGAAACTAACTTAAAGTTTCTCAAGATGAATTTCGCTTTAGAATAGAAACATAACAAACTGCAAAGATTCAGAAGACTTGGTTTTATATGTCTATGTCTTTTAGCTGTTCAATTATGTGAAAACCAGGAAGCATTGATAAAAATTAGCATAGGTTTAGAAAGGGTGATAAAAGCAGAGATAAAAGCACTATTACTTTGAGCAGTAGTTTGTCAATGGTTGTATGTGAAGAATAGTTTGACAAAAAAGAAATTTTATTTAGTAATTCAGATACAGTGAATTTCGTGGAGTGCAAAGTTGCAGGAAGAGTTGATTGTTTCTTCATATAAACTATAAAAAGTGACATTGCCAGTTATATGTAAGTCTCATGACTTCTTTATCCACTAGTGAACCTGGAAGATATTGTGGCTTTATCTCCATCAGATGTTTGAGAATTAAGATCACTGATCCTCTGAGTACTGAGAGTATAGGCTTACTTTTACACAGAATTTGAGATGTTCATGATAAGTGCAGTGTTAGTATTGCATCGCCAGACCCTTACTGATAAGACAAACTACTTAAGTTTTTGGGTTTTCTAATAATGGTATTAAATCCAATGTTGTCTTGATTCAGGTGTTGGAGCTGCTCGAGCTGGAAACCTTACTTTCATGGTTGGTGGAGTGGAACAAGAATTTAATGCTGCCAAAGAGTTGCTAACATGCATGGGTTCTAATGTGATTTACTGTGGAGAGGTTGGAACCGGACAGGTAATGCTTTCTGAAGGGTTAATTGTTATCTCAGTCTTACGTTTTTCTGGCTTTTTCTCTAGTGATACCTACTCTTTTATTTCAGGACTAAATGCATTATAATATATCCTCATACTTCATACTTGTTTGCTTGTTTACTTGTCTCTAACTATGTGTTTATAAAATAACCTCATGGCCCTTTTGTCCAGTATGTTGTATAGCTTAGTACCAAAGTCTGATTGGTGTTTATCCACATTGGCTTGTTGAGATTATACTACTTAAAGGAGGATATTTTAATTTTGTTTCTTCTAAATTTAGATTTACTGGATGTTCTGAAGGACAAAGAGCCTCTACATTCTATGTATACTAACTGACCTTCTGTACAAAGAAAAAAGTACTTCTTAATCTCCGAAGGAGCCATAGAACAGCTTTCATTAACTGTACTATCATAGATCTGTGCTTACTGGTGCTACCTCTAGAAGAGAGCTGCCAAAATATATTTGATCATACTGTCCTGAGCCTAGTTAAAGATGATTCTTACATGTTAGGTCTACGAAAATGCGTGAACTAATTGATGGTTTCACGACATTTCAGGCTGCAAAGATCTGCAACAACATGCTCTTGGCCATCAGTATGATTGGAACTGCTGAGACTATGAATCTTGGAATCAGGTTTGTTTGATTTTTGTACGGGATTGAAGCATTTTTTCTGTGTTTACAGTTTTCGTGTATTATGGTTGATTTTGCTGAGACAATGATGATTAAATGGCACAGATAAACTTTTGCAAGAAGTTGTCTTATAAAGTTAATGACAGGCTAAAGGGATTATTTAATAAAGTAGGGGTTTTCAGAATGGGAATATTTTCTTGTATTGGCTCTTGCATTCTGCATCTGAAGTTACGAATTTATTTGTTCTGCTGTAGTGCAGTGTGCAATAATGTTTGTCTTGCATTGTAAACATGCAGAGATAATACAGAGGTAGGTTTTTGTTTGTATTCTAAGTAATGTACAGTTTATTCAGAGTATTACACTCCCATATGGCACTCATTGGCTCTGTTTACTTTGTTAAATTGTTCCAAAATATATTGTAAAACAAAACTTGTACTACAGTATGTGTATCAAATTAAGATCAAAGCATAAAACAGAACATCTACCTTTCTTCGACTTTTTGAGTGCAGTTTGTCCTAATTACCAAAACTCCTAGCTTGTCAAAGAGCTGCAGTATGCTCCTCTGCATTCTTGTCAATGCTAAGATTACCATTTCTTTTCTAGCATGTGATACATCTAACTTCTAAGTGACAGCATATTCAAGCAAAATGATTTTTACTTTCCAGTTGTAACCTATTTATTTTGCTGTGGCTTTTTGATTTTATTTTCCAATAGAGGCCATACAAATAGCAGTTCCGTATCAGAGTATTTGAAGCTTTCATAAATTCTTTTAGCCAGATCTGAATAATTTGCAAATTTATAGACAAAGAAGTCTTGTGTTTGCAATTGTGTATCTTTTAAGGGTTTTCCATGAATTATTTTTCTGTGCAGTTGCATCCTTAAAATTTGCCTGTTAAAACTACAGCTATTGTAGATACTTATCTACTGGGCTCAGCTGTGTTCATGTGGATTTGATACACTATAAAAACAGTAACAGGGTATCAAATGCTTAAAGAAATAAAAGGAACACCTACATATGTGCATGTACATGAGACAATGTAATGGATTCACATTTCCTCTTAATTACCATATCAAGATGCAGTTGTTTTATTGAATTGCCCTTGTCTCAGATGTTAGACTATCTTGACCTATTAAGTTGTCATGTTGTAATTGAGATAAAAGAGGAATTTGCTTTGCATCAGTGCTAATTGGTTTATCAATATCCTGTACCATTTACATTTTAAAATTGAGAGTCTGTAAAATACTGAAGCATGTCTGCATCGAGGCATAATAAAACCAGTAGCATTGTTTACAACTATTGTAATCCAGTGTAATCCAGAAAGCTTTCATCAAGTTCTGCTTTAAGTCATGATTCACTTAATAAAGCATATGCAACTGATTTTTTGTTATAGTTTTATCTACGTTTGTAGCAATGATTAGAATTAAAATTGAAGGTAAAATAAAATCAAGAGGTTTGGAAGACAGATATTCTGGGCATGTAAACCCTGTGCAGAGCAAGTTGATGTCTGCAGTCACTGTAGCTTGAAAGTGTTTAGGATTTTCATTTTTCATTTTTTCCTTTTCCAGTTTAAATTTTGCCTGAATTTGTATTCAGCATTTGTAAGCAAAAGTCCAGTGACAATATATAAACCTTCCTACCCTACAATCAAGGTTATCAGAAAGGAACTGTATTTATTGTAGAAGAAACCTGCAGATTGTAATCAAAATTATAAAAAAAGCGTAATCTCATTTAGTCCAAAACTGCATGAGGCTTAAGACAGAGGCAGTAATTTAAAGCCTTATGAAGTAATTTAGAACCCTAGCATTGATTTTAATTTGCTGCGATTTAGATGCTGGAGAAGATGACTTCTGCTTATATCTAGAATAAGAGCTTTCCACTTTGGGTGTGTAAAAATTTCTAATGTGCAAGTTAACACTTTTCATTCTAATTATAAGAAGTTTTGCTATAGTAGTAAATTTATGATTTTTTTTTTCAAGTCTAAAGCTCAAAGGATAGTGTGGTTGCCTAGTCTGGAGAGAGTGAGAAGTTGAACTTGATTTATTGAATTGATGCATATCTAGTGAAAAAAGTGTGGCTCTGACCTAATAATGATAAAGGATACTGAATATCTAAATATTCAGAGTAGGAATTGTGGAACTTAGACATGTTCGTAACTTTTAGATAGAATATAAAATGTCTTTATATCATTCATTGTGTGTGTCTGCTGCATCATTTAAATTGAGTCTTATGGACTTTGGATAATTATTCAAAATATTGTTATCTGAAGTAGATATAACTAGAAAGTCATATTACAACACCTCCATCAACTTTGAGCTTAAATCTTCAAAACAATGTGATGTTAATTCTATTAATAAACCACTTCGTCTGTAATGTTTTTATAAACCATGCAGTCTAAGTTTGCATTTTCTGAAGTAGTTAGAGTGACTGGTTTATTAATTTCAGATTTTTAAATTACATTATTTATTTTATATTTGAAATTATAGAATTTTTCCAAAATTCAACATAAGTAACAAATAGAATGTGCTGAGGGGGAAAAAAACCATGACATTAAAAAGTCCTACGATAAACTCCCAGAAAAATGGGCAATATTGCTGTGTAATTTTTGTGTTTATATTCCACTTGCTTTTCTACTTTAACATCATCTTTATTTACTCATCATCTTCATTTACTAATGAAGATGTCCATTTTCACTGGAAGCTATTTGGATTAGATTGCATAAATAATTTTTTTAAAAATTCCCATCCTTAGTTCTGCCCAATAAAATGCTTGTTTTGTTATGTTTAGTTTTTTCCATTACTTTCCTGATGCTTTATGAATGTTGCTAGTAACAATTGAAAGGTATGGCAGACATTTTGGAAATGAATTTGTATTATCATTTGTATTTTCTTTTCTAGCATGTTAGTGCAACTTTTCAGGGGAAAAAACTCGAGTAGATTTTGCTATGCAGTTTTATGGATAATGTGCATATTGCAAAATACTTACTGGCTTCCTGTGTCAAACCAACACACAGAGTACATGTAAGCTTCACAAATATGAAATAAAACATTAAGTGCTACCATCCACAGTTAGAAACTATTTGTCTTTTTCATTTTGCTGATCATCTCAGTGTCAGTAGCTTTGTTTTACTGAGCCCTGAGTACCAGTGAAACAACTTTTCATACCAGCAAAATAAAACTCAGAAATTATATATTGCTGATACCTGGTTTGTGTTTAGGTCATTTGGAAGTTGCTGCCTGACAGGCAGTTTGCGGTTCCTTCAGAAAGTAGCTACAAAGTCTCAGAGAAGGGCTTATGTGGTGGCACAAGACAGGACAAGATTGCTTAATATAGTTGGGATATAAGGGACCAGGAGAGCAGTAAGGGCTCTATGGCAATAACCTCACTGAAAAATCACTTTTGTACTTCCAACAGTAAAGAAAATTATCTCTCTGAGGAGGGACTTCCGTGGCACCCAGATTTCTGCCAAAAGCTGGAAATGCAACTCCTTCCTACGCAGTTTTACTGTGTGTGGATTTGTGCCCACTTGCTTTTTTAGATACATTAAGTGAAAAGATGATAAAAGAACTACTTCTTCTCGTGCTGAGTTTAAACATAGTCTCAGTCTCTAAGTCTGGTTTCTGTGAGCACCCCTGTGGATGCAAGAGAGGAGCAGAAATGAGAGTTGACACTGTAGAGAGGAGCATGTTCTACAGGCTGAGGAATGATTAGCCATGGACACACCTGCACTGCAAATTTTAGAAAGAGTACCTTGAAAAATAACTCCTCCAAGAAACTGGGGCTCTGCTATCTTTGGCATGGAGCTACAGCTAAGTCTTGTGAGGGAGTAGTAATGACACTGGAAAGCACTTACCTTGTTTAAAATGCCAGTGACCAAGTAATTTTTAACTGTGGCAGAAGGGTCCTGCCTTTACATAATACTTATTGAAAGCACTCTGAGATGGGAAACTTTCAACAGTTTACTACTTCAGTTGCTACACCTTAATATGAGACCAGGATGTGTCTTTCTTGTGAGACACTATTTCAGTTTTTGTATCTGTTCCAGACTGAACTTTTGGAGGAGCATATTCAGTATCTGGTTTTGTCAAAGCTCAGCAAAACTTGAGTTTTGAGCAGTGACCTGAGGGGATCCTATTTTAACTTTTTTTTTTTTTTGGTATGTGTCCCTTGCTGAGTTTCTGCTGTTCACTTCATTAGGAATGTTATTGAAGAAGCATTGATTTGAGGAAAGCAATTGTTTTTGCTTTATTATAAGTACAGTTAATACATGGGCTTCTTTTCTGCTTATAAGGGAGAAGAACGTTTTGGTAATTGTAAATTCACACACACATGCACAAGCTCTTCTCATGTCCAATGGCAAGTTGTTATGGGGACTGGCAGACTGTCATCATTTTGATAGCTTGAGCAGTATATCTCTTGAACAGCAATGGAGCTCTTATGCAGAGAGTATCGTATGTTCCCAGCCAATTTACAGGGAAACAGCAATAACATTTTATCATGGTTGAGAGCCCAGTAGCTGCTTCCTATTAAACTTGCCCTTTCAGATACCTGTCTTGGATTAATTTGTTGATTTCAAATGGAAACTCAGTCTTCTCCACTGAAGCATGACTTTCTAGGATAGACTCTCGCTGAATGACAATTACTGTATATTCTAGCTGGTTTCAGACCATTACAGGCTTTGGGCACCGTGGAAGACAGAGGACTTCTTCAGTAACTGATTTTAATATATGTCTAATTTTAACTGTCAGTTATATATGCACCAGTGGATGAATCTTCAGAAAGATGAAATGCAAAGCACTTCTAACTTGCTCTTATTAATGGTACACTTGCTGAAAAGGAGAAAAAAAAATAGGTTCAGGTCTCCTGAAGAGAAGCTGCATGGTGTTTAAGAGCAATGAATTTTGAAGAAGCAGGGATACAAACTATCTTACTTTTTCTTTTCAGAGAGCAAAAACATGCCAGATCTAGTCCAAAGACAGTAGTTTACATATCTGTATAATACACACATGTTTTTAAAAGTATACTTTCACAGAGAGGTAGTTGGAACACTGTAAGAAGAGCATTCTTTGGGAGGGTTATATGTGTTTTGAAATAATAAGCTCTCTGTCTTGCAATATACTCACAGCTGTAATTAGGGGCCTCTGCTTGCAGCTAGATATGGCACAAATAGGCTCTATATTGTTAAAAATACTGATCTGGATATAACAATGATAAGGAAACAAACAAGCCAAGAGATTTGTTTTGGGAAAAAAAAAAAGCAACCTTTGTATATTTGCAAGCTTAGGCTTTGAATGCTCCCACAATGCAGGGGTTTTTTTATTACAACAATTCAAGAGTGACTTTTGATGAAGACTTTGATGCATTATGCAAGATAAAAGTACAATTTATTGTGAAAACATATTGGTACTGAAAAATACTTTTTTTTTAATAAATGGCCACTGAAAGCATTCAGTTGAGTCAGAGGGTTGAAAAAACAGGGGAGGAGAATAAAGCTTGATCCCATTCAGACCAGCAGGAGACTTTCCATTGAATTCCAAGGGTTGCTGAAGCAAATCATAAATAAGAGTACACAGCAGTAGTGCTAAAAAGCTATCTGAGGTACAGAAAATGATCTTGCTTTGCATTAGGATGGCAGAATTGCAGGAGGCACATGCCATTATAGGAATAGCAGCCACCCTATGTCTGTCTTAAATGTAGTTTTTCAAATCCAAAATGCCTACTGGAATAAATAGACATGCATTTTAGCAACTGTTCCATTGGTAAGCTTTTTTCATCTATAAATTAAAACTTTGAGTGATACAGTGCCCGGAAGCAGTGTTAGGCTATGGAGATCTGCAGAAGTCTGTGGTGTCAGAGCTAATGTAAAGAGCATTGAATTCTATAAAAAACCCTTTGTAGAAGGTTGTGATATATTTAAAATGTCCTTTTCTCATCTTGGATTGTTACTGGACATAATGCCCTTGCTTTCTTTTTTGTCCTGAGCATAGCTGAACATTTGTACAGGGCCAGATGAACTGCTGCTGCTCGTCCTTGGTATAAATGGAATTGATGTAGAATTACACCTGCCATTTATTATCAGCATAAATGTGAATTCATAAGAGGATTAATTTCCTATAATATTGAAGAATTTTCAGGGTCTACACTGAGCAGCAGTTTATGCCATCGTCTCTGTGGTAGAACAAATGACGTTTCTACTTGGACAAGCTTTGTTTTATCGGGATCAGTAACCTTATCAGCAGTTGACCCAGAACTATAATATATGTTTGCAAATAGATAACGTGTCAGAGTGAGATGCAGACTTGCCTCATAAGCAAGAGTATATAATGAAGATTTAATAATAGCAAAGCCACAAATGTACAGATGTACGCAATAGTAATATTTTTTGCAAAGTGTAGCATTTTTATTCACATTACTAGAGCAGAATCGTTTGTGTTACCTTGTTTACTTCAGAAATGCACTGGCATTCACATATAAATGCATCACACAAGTACTTTCATGTTGCCACGCTTCCTTGTAAATTTTTTGTTTTGTTTAGAGAGTATAATTTTGATATGAAGAACAAGTATTTGACCAAGTAGGTAGCAGAATAGAGAATGCCTTTTAGTAATTGAAATACCAGGGAATTACTGTTCTCAGAGGACCTTTATTTCTCCTGCACTTTCAAAATTGCTAGGTGAAGAGGATTTGCTTAGTGCAAAAGGAAAACGGCTCTGAAAACCTATTGCTTAAATGGTGGATTGATGCTCTTTAATTTAAGATACAACATCCCTGCCCCCAATATCAATACTCTGTCATTTTTCATGACTTATAATAAAGGGAGAGGAATGACGGTAGGGTTCTAAGATATAAAACAAGTCACCCATGTCTTGTGCATTTTGACATTAACACTTCTCTTCCTTGACCTTTGACAGATTAGGCCTTGACCCAAAGCTGCTGGCCAAAATCCTAAATATGAGCTCAGGTCGCTGTTGGTCAAGCGATACGTACAACCCTGTTCCTGGAGTGATGGAAGGAGTACCGTCTGCTAATAATTACCAAGGTGGCTTTGGAACAACACTCATGGCTAAGGTACGTAACACTTGCATGTGAAGTATGTGCAGTTGCTTCTCTCTGGGCTTCTTACAAACATTCTTCTCAGTGAAAATTTATGATTACAGGATAATATGTAGGGGAACCCAGCCTCTTCCTGTAGCTCTGAATTAATGAGTTGTTTAGGGAGCTTTTCCTTAACCTCTAGCTTCTTTCTAGCCACTGTTACTGCTGAGCCACTCATTGGGATTATATACACTGTCTTTTTGAGTTTTGCCTTAAAAAAGGAGTCCTAGTGGACTTATGTATAAGGTGAGCGTTCAGCAAGCCATTTAGGTGCCTCTTGTGTGACTGCTCTAGAATTTAGGAGCCTAAGTTCAAGAGAGAATTTGGGGAAACCAGGTGATTTAATTAGTTGCTAATAGTGGCATAAACATCTCGGATTTTGGGCCCACTTTCTTCTAGATGTCTAAACTGTGCTATTGGGCAAACTCTCTAGCATCCCTGTCCTTGCTAAGCCAATTGCTTATGTGCTTGTCCTTCTGCCTAAGGCCATTTTGAATGCAGAAAGCAAACAGATTTCTACCCACATCCCTACAGGCTGATCTTCTGCAGATGTCTACATCATGAGCCCTCCTGAATTGTCTTAGTGGCAGAAACCGTACTTCTCGTGAATAATAACCTAGTAATCTAAATTACTAGAAGTAATTCTTCTCCATGAAGTGGGAGTTCTGGGAGTTAGGGTCTTCTCAGCATGAACAAGTTCAAAACCTGCTGTTACCCATCCCAGGAGAATCCACTTACTGCCGTGCTCTTGACTGTTCCAGGAAAAGCACTGTCCTGAGTCACTCTGTGGTCAGGAAAGCAAAGCTCTTAGAGACCAGAGGAAAGTAGGCAAGGAAGTCAGGGCTCTGCACCCCATTGATGAGGATGCACAGCTGGAGGAAGGAGCTGTAGAACTGACTCTTGAACTACTTCTGAACTGAGCACAATGATTGCCTGAGGTAAATTATAAAATCAGCCCTGGAAGAGATCTCTCATCTAAGAATTGTAAGTGCAGAAGATAATTTCACACTGAATATCAGTTTCGTGGAGATACTGTTCTGAGGGAGGCATTTTAGTTCATACAGGCTAGGTTTTAGGCATACCAGTTTATGAGTGCTCCCAGCTGGTTAGGTATCCTGTCCTTTTTCAGCTCTTCCACAGAGAGTGGAAATTTAGCACTTAAAACTAAAACAACATTCTGAAAGGTGGTGAACAAACTCAGATATTGACATGCAAATCTCTGAAGTGCTGGAACTCCTGTATATCATACCTGCATACCGGTACTGTTCCTGTCATTTCGCAGTTGATTTAGGACAATTGGTGCATTTGCACATTCAGTGACATTAGACAAATTCTGTCCAGAGTGGGTCCAGAGTGTTTTGCATGTGGTAGCATCGAAAAACTTTGCTAATGCTACATGGCTCAAAACCCTTCAATGGCTGACCCGCTACATTTTAAGTTTATGGACCAATGATCAGGTGCTTTCATTTCTTTGAGGGATGTGTTAAAATATTGGCAAATAGGAGTTTTTACATCATGTTCATGCCATTGAACATAGGGGACAATAAAGTGGTGTTTAAATTACTGATTTATAAAAGTGTTAGGTTATTCTTTGGAGTTTGCCAGAGCTATTGATTAGAGGTAAGCAACCTGATCTTGATCCTGCCTCAGAGCTTGTTTCCATCTTGTGTGCTGGTTCCAGAATCTGTTCTGTCTGTTATGCCTTGTTTCATACTGCAATCTCTTGTCTCATAATTCATACCTCTTAATCTTGTCCAGAATAACCTCACAGTATAAATGTGTTAGGGGCATGTATTTCCTTCCCTCTCTTTTAAGTTTCTTTATAAAGGTTTTTTTTTTCCTTTGGTCTACTTCTGAGGGGGACCAGCATCTCTCCTGGAAGCTGCCCTGAAAGATATTAGGAATAGCAGCCTGGCTTGTGCCTGTTTAAACTGCCAGCTTTTGCTTATAAAGTATCAGTGATAACCAAGAGGAGAGTTCCTCAGAGTCTGTAATTGCTGTTCACCTCTTCTGACTGCCTTTCTTGACAGTCCTGAAGAGTGAGTGCCTTCTTTAGGCTAGAATCCTCAATAAGCAGGAAAGGCATTAAATTCCTCTCATGCCTCTTGAACAATGCTATGTTATTCTATATAGATGGAAGATTTCTTGAATGAGTAAGTAACCAAGACAGCTGATCACGTTCAGGCTATTATTTGGTGCAGTGGTGACCTCTTTGAAGACACTACTCCTTAGTTCGTGGAAAGACTTTTGCTACTATCCATTTCATGTGATATATCATGTAGTTTGTGAATTGTTTGAGATGGGGATTTTTTTAATGGGAAATGCAGAGCATGATTTTGCCACTTAAGAATAGAAAAGTACATATTCAAAGGAGAAGGAGATAGTGAAAACCCTGAAAATATCTCGGAGTGCCTCAGTAACAGTCACTAAACACAGTTAATAAACCTCAAGTTAGTGCTCACGTATCAGATATGGTAGAAGTCAAAGGCTTTCTTAAAATATTTTGTCAGCAATGGATCTCTCAAACAAAACCAGAGGATCCTTATTTTAAGTATTTGGGTCAGAAAAGTTTTCCAGAGACCTCTGAAAAGCTGTTTGGTCTTATAATTTGATATTGAAACATAGAATTTAGTCAACTTGATATGAAACCTGCTCTAAAGATTTTGCATTGAAAAGATCTAGTTTATTTCCCCACACCACCTTTGTGTCCAAGGCATTGCAGGCCAGAAGTTCCATCTTTCATTGACAGCACAATTGCTAATTAAATGTCAACTTTGAAGAGCTGAATTTATATCATATTCTTCTTGGGTCATGTCAAGACAGCCTTTGAGCTTTATTCCAAATGGCAGATTCATTTACATCAACTGCAAAATAAATGTAAGGAACCAGGTAATTCCAAAGTGAGCATTGGAAGCAGATTGCAAAAGAGAATCTGTTTCCCTATTCCAAGCTGAGAAAAAGTGGTTAGAATATTCAGTGCACTGAGATATCTGGAAGACGTTGTCAGTTCCAAAGAGTATGAGAGGAGCCATAAACTGTGCTCTCATTTTTACTTTTTCAGATAGGGAATGGAGTTTAAAAAGCAAAACAACTTTCCAGCACTTCAGAGTCAGGAGTCCTTGTCCATTTAACTGCTGAAATGTTGTTAAATGTTTCAGCCATTTTAGAACCAGAGTTTCATTATTAAAGTGAACAGACCTGCTTTATTGGTTTATGAGTGGTATTCCCCAATTTAGTACTCACTCTGAAAAGAAAACCCGCGAGCCACTACCCTTCTCCTCTGGTGAGAAACACAAAAGGCAGAGGTTGAGATAAGAACAATTTACTGGAAACAGCAATGAGATAAGAAACTAATAACAAACATGTTATTATGGAGCAGATCATCCTCAGTGCAGTCACACAGCACCTACAGGATGGACAAGGGATCAGACCCAGCCAGCACAGGTTTAGGAAGGGCAGGTCCTGTCTGACCAACCTGATCTCCTTTTATGATCAGGTGACCCGTCTGGTGGATGAGGGGAAGGCTGTGGATGTGTCTACCTGGACTTCAGCAAGGCCTTTGACACCATCTCCCACAGCATTCTCCTGAAAAAGCTGCAGCCCACGGCTTGGACAGGGGCACCCTGTGCTGGGTTAGGAACTGGCTGGAGGGCCGGGCCCAGAGAGTGGTGGTGAACGGGGCTGCGTCCAGTTGGCAGCCGGTCACTAGTGGTGTCCCCCAGGGATCAGTGTTGGGCCCAGTCCTGTTTAATATCTTTATTGATGATTTAGATGAGGGGATGAGTCCACCATCAGCAAATTTGCAGATGACACTAAGCTGGGGGGCAGTGTCGATCAGCTGGAAGGCAGGAGGGCTCTGCAGAGGGACCTGGATAGGTTGGAGAGTTGGGCTGATTCCAAAGGGATGAGGTTCAACAAGGCCAAGTGCCGGGTCCTGCACTTTGGCCACAACAACCCC